TTTTTTCTTCTTGAGCATTTGTGGCAGACTCACTTTTACCTACTTTCTCAAACTCATAGTACATAGCTGAAATTTTAGCACTCTGAAAATCTGAAGAAGGAGAAGTCCAGTTTAAAGACAGCCTGAACAATTTGCCAATAAGCAAGTCCATGTCTCAGCATGCAAATGGTAGGGTGGCTGGGGACAACTCCGTCCCAAAGACCCTGCTTTAATAACCAACATCACTTAAATATATGAATGAGGGATTTAAGAAGACAAAATTCCATCCCTGAAATTTGCTTTTTCCCATTACTTTCATTGTAAAATTTCCAATTTGTTAAGACTGAGTTTGGGTGTTTTACTTAATACTATTAATTTTTGTAATAGACTATTTTTCAGCTTTAATTGAGTTTATTGGTACATTTTAAGGGTAAAGTACAGTTACATTCATTGTTGGGATCTTGTACCTCTACATGACAGGTCTTGGTTCTCATTTTTGCCCTTGTCCCTGCCCTCCCTTCCCCTCCCCCTTCCTCCTTCCCCTACCCATCCCAACTTCCCTACACCTTTCGTCCCTTTCTTCCCATTTCACAATGTCAGTAATCTTATTAGGATCTTATGTATTATTGCAGTTTATTCACACCAGAGAAACTATTTGGTATTTATACATGTGTGACTTATTTATTTCACTTTGGACTATATCTTCAATATGTATCCTGTTTTCTATGAATGAATCTATTTTATCATTCTTTATGGCTGAGTAATATTCCATTTTATAGAAAAACTACATCTTCTTTATCCAGTTTCCAACTAATGAGCAAATGGACTATTTCCAAGTTTTAACTATTACAAACTGCGCCGCTATAAACATGGGTACACATGCATCACTGTGATATGATTCTTTTAGATCTTTTGGAAAGATAACCAGCAGAGGGATGGATGGTTTAAATGGAACCTCTAGTCCTAGCTCTTTGAGGTATCTCAATATTGATTTACATAGTGGTTGCACCAGTCTGCAATCCCACCAACAATGGAGAAGGGTTCCTTTCTCCCCACAATCCTGCCAACATTTGTTATTGTTTGATTTCTTGATAGCAGCTATTCTTTGTGGGGTGAGGTGGAATCTCAGTGTTGCTTTCATCTGCATCTCTAGAATGACTGGTGATGTGCAGCACTTTTTCATATATTTACTTGCTGCTTTTATTTCTTTGTCTGAGAAGTGTCTGTTCATTTCAGATGCCCATTTTTGAATTGGGTCTTTATATTTGGGGGGGCTGATTGTTCTGAGTTCTTTATATATTCTGGATAATAGTCCTTTGTCTGAGGAGCAGCTGGTAAAATTTTTTCCCACATTGTAGGTTGTCTCTTAGTTCTAATGATGGTTTTTCTGCAGTACAGAAGCTTTTTAATAAGATGAGATCCCAGTTGTTGATTCTTTCTGCTAGTTACTGTGCTACTGAGGATTTGTTCATATTTTCCTACGCCAATGTCTTCCAGAGTTCTGCCTAACTTACCTCCCAGCAAATTTAGTTTTTCTGTGTGAATATTTAGATCTTTAATCTACTTGGATTTTAATTTAGTGCATGGTGAAAGATAAGGGTCCAGTTTTAATCTGTGGCAGGTTGAAATCCAGTTTTTCCAACACCATTTATTAAAGAGGCTATCTTTCCTCCAGGGCAGGAAGGTCAGCTCCTTTGTCAAAGAAGAGATAGCTGAGTACATCTGGAGTTGTTTTTGAGTCTTCCATTCTGTTCCACGGATTCTCAGGCCTGTCTCTGCGAGTACCATGCTGTTTTTATCACAGTGGCTTTGTAGTATAGTTTCAGATTGGAAATTGTTATACCCGCTGCCATGTGTCTGTTGCCTAGGATGGCTTTTGCTATTCTAGGTCTCTTATGGTTCCAGATGAATTTTTGGATTGTTTTTTCTACTTCTGTGAAATACAGTGTTGGAATTTCAATTGGCAGTGCATTGAATGTATATAGCAATTTTGGTAGTATGGCCATTTTTACTATGTTGATTCTTCCTACCCAGGAGCAGGGGATATCTTTCCATTTTTTTATACCCTCTTCAATTTCTTTTTTCAGAGTGCTATAGTTTTCAGTGTAGAGATCTTTTGCTTCTTTTGTTAGATTGATTCCTAGATACTTCATTTTTCTGGATGCTATTGTGAAGGGAATTGTTTCCCTAATTTCTCTCTCAATGATTCTGTCATTTGTGTACAAGAAGTCTATTGATTTTTGGGTGTTCACCTTGCATGCAGTTACTGTACTGAATCTGTCAATTAAGTCTAGAAGCGTTTTGGTGGAGTTTTTTGGGTCTTCAGTGTAGAATATCATGTCATCAGCAAATAATGACAGTTTAACTTCTTCCTTTCCTATCTTTATTGCTTTAATTTATTTCTCTTGTCTAATTGCTATGGCTAATATTTCCAGAAGTATTTTGAAGAGGAGTGGTGATAGTGGAATCCTTTTCTTGTTCCTGATTTTAAAATGAAGGTTTTCAGGTTTTTTCCATTTGATATGATGTTGGCTCTTGGTTTTTCATAGATAGCCTTTATTAAGTTGAGACATAGATCATCTATTCCAATTTTTGCAGGGTTTTTATCATGAATGGGTGTTGAATTTTGTCAAATGCTTTTTCTGCATCTATTGAGAGAATCATGTGGTTTTTGTCCTTGACATTGTTAATATAATGTATTACTTTTATTGACTTACCTATGTTGAACCACCCTTGCATCCAAGGAATAAATCCGACTTGGTCAGGATGTATGATCTTTTTGATAATCCTCTGTATTCTGTTTGCTAGTATCTCATTAAGGATCTTTGCCTCTATATTCATTAAGGAGATTGGCCTGTAGTTCTCTTTTTTAGTTGCATCTTTCCCTGGTTTGGGAATCAAAGTGATACTTGCTTCTAGGAATGAATTTGGGGGTATAGCTTTCCTTTCAATTTCATTGAAAAGTTTGAAGAGTAATGGCAGTAGTTCTTCTCGAAATGTCTTGTAAAATTCAGCAGTGAATCCATCAGGGCCTGGGCTTTACTTTGTTGGTAAGTTTTTAATTATATTTTCAATTTCACTGATTGTGATTGGGATGTTTAAAATGTTTTTATCTTTGGTAATTCAAAAGTATCTAAAAATCTGTCCCTTTCTTCTGTGTTTTCTGTTTTATTAGAGTGTAGGTCTCATAGTATGTATTAAAGATCCTCTGGATTTCTGTGGGATCTGGTGTGACTTTGCCTTTTTCATTCCTGATTGCATGGATCTGAGCCTTTTCTTTCACTTTTTTGATAAAATTAGCTAAGGGTTTCTCAATTTTATTTATTCTTCCAAAAAACCAACTCTTTGTTTCACTTTTTTTTGTATCATTTTCTTAGTTTCCATAGCATTTTTGTAATAGATTTTGAAGTTTATACCTCAGGGTATCAGTGCCCACATCCGTGTGTGTGTGTGTGTGTGTGTGTGTGCGCGCGTGTATGTGTGTGTGTGAATTATGCCATTCATATTTTATGGTTTGGCATTTATGTTTTCATTGTCCATTTAGTTTATTATATTAGAATCAGATTTTGAGTTCATAGATAATATCTCATCTTACAGGTATATTACAGGCAGTTTGATCCAGTCTTTTTTCTTGGCTGGCTGTTTTTGCTTATATCGCTTGCATACCTTAGGCAAAATTGTATTACAGGCTGAGGCAACAGGTAAAATGTAAACTTTTCTTAATCTTAAATCACAGGTGAAGAACCCATGAGCAGCTTTTCAGTGTGTAGGTGTGGCTAGGAGTTCTTGCTCTTGACTGTAGGTCTTGTCGTGCTTGCCACTGGCTTTTGAAATATATATCAATGTTGTTTCTCTCTAGTTCTATTGCTGAAGACTTGGTAAGTCCATTGCTCATCCCCATTTACAACTGATTCTTCTGGTATATTTCTTGTCTTAAAAGATGGTTTCATAATTTTTTTAATGTGAATGACTTTTAATTGTTTCTTTGTGGAGATAGGAATAAGTCTAAGGATGAGGAGAGATGGGAGAGCAGGGAAGGGAAGAGAAACTAAAATTATTGAGATGTGATATGTATATAAAAATAAAATACATAAATTAAAAAAATATTTTATCTACCATTTATCTGTATTGCCAGAATGTATGCCTTCAAAGTGATCTTGGAACATTTCAATGTTAAATAAATATTGAAAATGAATGGCCCTAAAACAATGTCAATAAATCATAATACAGCATTGGCAATATCTGTTTTTGTCACTTTGTAATACACTGTCTAATATATCTCTTGACTAATTACTCTTTACCTAGTTACTTTGTATTTTATCTAGACTAGTTAACTAACTTTTGTTGAAATGTTCACTTTTGAAACTGATTTTGTTTGCAAACGTAATGACTTCTTTTTCATTGTTTGTAGTATATCAGTTCCACCATGTGCCAGTGTCCACTTAAAGCTCTGATATAATGTTTTTTAGTAAAAGTATTACTAAGAAGCTTCACAGGTTATGCAGAAATAATCAGACCTACAATTTATGTATTTATTATTTTGTTATAGCCAGCATATTTATAAGAGAAATAGAATAATTAAATGGAAGTAAAGATTCAGTGTGAATTAATACCATAGATGAACTAAATCTTAAGAAAAAACACAGATGGGAGGGAGTAGTAAGAGATATTTTGAATGTAGGTAGGTATTTTCAAAGAGATCAGAGTATAAAAATACACAGAAATAGAAAAACAAATTATAATAATTGTTCTTTTGCAGAGTAAAATCTTTTTTAGTTTAATGTAAATTAACATCACTAGTTATGCTTTGTTTTATTTACATTTAAATTCTTATATAAAATGTCATTTTGGGGATGAATGTCACAAATAATTTCTTCTGTATCTTGTTATTTCATTGGTCTGAAGAGGATAAAGTTTTTCCAAACGTATTTAATGAGGTCAGTATTACATTTAAACTAAAATCAGGCTAAGACATAATTAAAAAAGGAACGTTTTCACTAATAGTATTCAAAATAGTAATAAAAGCACTTTTTCTTTGTAGGGATGAAAGCTTGGCATGTTAAAAGTAAAAATAATGATGGATTAAAGCAGCAGTCACACATACATTTTTTAGTTTAAATCTTGGGGAAGAGGATTATAGCACATTTTATGCTGATGAACATGAGATTAAAA